ACCAGGATGTCATGCAGGACAGTGTGGAAGGTTTTGCACAGGTACAGGTAGATGATGTTGGTTGCTCTTCCTTTGTCCACCAATGCCATGACCCATTCTAGAAGGCCACCAGGGTTTGCCCTTGGTGAAGCCATGTTGGTTCTCACCAATCACCCCTTTGTTTTCCACGTGCCTCGACAGAGACTTCAGGGGCACCTGCTCCATTATGTTGCCAGGCAGGAGGGTGGCAAGATGGATTGTTGCTCCACCAGATGGCTGTGGATTTGTGGATGTGGGAACATTTTGAGATGGTGTGGAGGGGACAGGAAAGGGCCTTTATGTCTATCATGGCTATGGCACCTTCTCTTCCATCCCACCCTCCACCTGCCTGGCCCACTGTAGTATTAGGACAAGCCCAGAAGATGCTCCCCATGACAGGGAGACCCAAAGTGAGAAGTGGTGACAGTGGTGGCCCTCCATAACTCACCACTGAAGGAATCCCTGTCTCCCATCATGCCCTTGTCCAAAGAGAGCTGGGACAGGAGGTGTCCTGAAATGGGATCCAACCCATGTCTCCTCCCAGATTCCCACAATGCCATTGACCTGCCGAGACTCCAAAGGGGCCATGTCAGCCATTTTCACCCTCTGCTGCCTCTTTTGTGCCCCTCCACACTCTCAAGATTGGGTCAAGGCAGATCATCTGATCTCCAGGTGGAATCTCACTGTGATCCAACCCAAGGCTTCCAACACAGCAGCACCTGGGCCACCAATGTCCCATGGATGAGGAACCACTGACTGAGTCTGGGACTTGGGACTAAGAGGGGCTCCAGCTGCATCCAGACCTTTTGAGAAGGACTTTCCAAGGCAAGGGGGTGTCCACGCTGAACCTCTTGGTCCGGGAGCATCACTGCACCCCAGGGTGGGGCAAGGGGATATGTGGAGGGAGAGGGTCCCATCCTCCCAGCACTGAAAGGTTTCTCCACCTTTTGCACCTCAAGAACACCAAGGGATTGATCCATCACCCCTTTATATAGTTGTATTGAGAATTTTAGTAATCAAAACAACCCCAAATTATTTTGAACCTCAGGTGACCCTGCCCTCCCTCCCCAGTTTTCCAGCCACCACCCTAGAGGATGTCAAAATCACCCAATCCCACTGTGTTTTCCCATTTTCCTTGCAAATCCCCTCTCAAAGCCACCTGCAAATGCTCCACAGTTTTATTTCACACGTACAAAAACAGCTGGGGCACATCCCAACATGTCCCCTTTGTCCTCTGAGGAGGGTGTCACCGTGATAAAGGTGCTTTTTTTTTGCCTTGTGTTGGTAAAAACATCACAGAAAAGATGATGAAAACAAATTCTAAAATGAAAACGTCAGATGGGACAGGAAGCAGTTCCTGAGCTGACACCATTTTATGGTCAACAAGAAGCTGGAGGAACAAAGCTTGGAAAATGGGGTGACCTTGAATGTGCCCCTTCATTCTTGGTGATCCCTGAGGTGGGTTTGGCCATGATGGGTGAGATCTGTTCTGCTGTTAAACCTCTTCTCACACTGGGAGCAGCTAAACGGTTGGTCACCTGTGTGAAGCTGTTGATGGGTCTTTAATTTAGATCGTTGAATGAAGCTTTTCTGGCACTGGGGACACTTGTAGGGTTTCTGACACGTGTGGGTGTGGTGATGGTTGATGAGCCCAGAGCTCCAGGCAAAGCTCTTCCCACAGTCAGGACACGTGTAGG